TAATATATTAGAACATATTTAGAACCCTTATCTAGAGGCCTACATAAAAGCAGTAGCGTTACCATTAGTTTTTTCAATATGTCTGAGAATAAGACAAGTAAGGTGCTAAATAAGGATTTAGATCACCCAAGTTGCTAAGATGTGGCTACAATTCATAACAATTTTAAAATGCAAATTCTGGTAGTCAGCATAGATCCACAGGAAAAAAAAAAAAAAAAAAGAAATCAGACACACAAAGGCCTCTAATTTAAGACTGTCAGTCTATGTATCATTTAGAATTTCAGAATGTCTTTTCAGCATAACAGTGTTTAGTTTTATCAGAACTTGTATTGAAATATGGAGAAAGTCTGAGGGAAAGATCCTTTAGCTCCGGTAGGAACCAATGTAAAATCCCGAGCAGTGAATCCTAACCGGACCCAGCAGTGCAGCTAGTGGATCCACAGTGAAATTACCGTGACACGCTGGAAGATATGATGCCAACGGTAGAAATTACTACAAGGAGATGAGTTCAAACCGACGAAAGGAAAGAAAATGCATAGAGTATGATAGTACACGCAATCTATCTCAAAAGACAGAGCTAGAATAATTTTTAAGGAACTGAAATGCATCTTTTATGTTTTCTGCCTTTGAGAAAGCTGGGGCAGCCTCTCTGCATTTTGCTTCTATCTATGATTTACAAGGTTCTATTCTTTGCTAGTCTTTCTCCAATTTGTCTGGCTGATCTAATTACCAGATGGCTTAAATAAATGTATTGTGTTCATTGAGGGGAACAGAAGTTCTCTTTCAGGGTTCTGTCATGGGTTCACTATCTTTTCCTTTGTACCTATTCCCCCCTCTGTGAATGGATTAGATTTCAGAGTTAAGTTTCATCTGAGGGCCATTCTGCTGAATGCTGCACTGGAAAGCATATTATCTATTCCAAGAAGCATGCACAGATAACCACAGGATATCGTAGACCTGTCCTAAAGCAATAACTGCCCTACTCTGCCAAGCAAATGGATTGTTTGATAATCTCCGGACACAGATTTCCAGAATAAGTATCTTTCACTAATAGACATCCTAGTGCATTCTAAGAAACAGGTGACAGTTGGCTAGAAAGAAGCAAATAAAAAGCAACATATGCACAGGGAAAAGCCAAGGAAAGTAACAAGAAGTGAAGTGCAGACAGACACAACAGAGAACTAATGACCAAAAAAAGCTACCCCATATCTCCAGAGTGGTAATTGCTCACAAATTGGTTTTGTTTAACCTGATAAACTGTGACAAAACTGAGCATAAAAAACCAGCCAAGTCTCTCACCTTATCTGCTTCCCCTGAAGCATCTCCACTAAGCCTAACTTTATGAAATTCTATATTATCTTCAGTGGTAATTATATAAAAGCATGGTAAACCACAAAAAGCTTAGTGTGGCATCACTTTTGCTAACATTTGTCATTCTTGTACTTTGCTTAACAACACTCTCAGCCTTCTTGAATATTTAGCCCCTAGTATTAATTCATACCCATGGCATTCAGGACAGACTGAGATATAATTATTGAGAAAAAATGAAAAGAGAATATGCTTGAAAAACAAATTAAAAATCAGTACAAAAAAGAACTAACATAGGTATTTTTGAATAGAGCACAATCATATTTCAAGAGCTGCAGGATGCATTTTCTTTGTTTACTGAAAAGATTGTAACTATTTTTTGACAGTTACAAAGGGCATTTTTGGCCATACACAAGAATCAATAACAACAATGTAAAGCCTACAGCACTGCACACTAACAGGCTAGAGGAGACATTAACACTAGCTAAAAGAAATAACTCTATTTTGAATGAACTTGTTCTTCCTGGATAATCAATTTTTTACACTTCTTACCAGCTGTTCCCACATAGCTCAGGTAGCAGAATGGAAGCAGCTGTCATACAGAACATATACATTATATGCATATTATGAGGTTTTAATCCATCGTAGATGTTTTATATTTGCTAATTTTGATCAGTTATATCAACTTGAGAGCCATATCAAAACAAATTCACCACTTCAATCTAGGAAAGATGCAATCTGAACGAATACACTAATCTGGCTTGAATGGTTTAATCCTTGAATGGTTTAAAAAAGTCATACTAATTATGAATCTACTAATGCCTGATCCCCAAACCGCTTTATTCCATATAAAATTTCATCATTAAAATCAGTTTACCCCACCGCCCACATTCAAGAGATTTGTCACAATCATTGTTTCTGAAATATTGAGTTATAAGGTGCCATAGTAATTACTACGGAATAAATAGCAATTAAGATTGTTCACACAAATAAGCTCAAACTGTTTGCAGTGAATAATTATGCTAATAGTGTTTTTCTACATAATTTGTGCATCCTTCACAACAATCTACTAGCAAATGTGAAATGTAAATTTGAGGCACTACTACAAAAGCTCTCAAAATGTTTAGTTCTTATGATTTCTCCCACTAGTTTAAGAAAGCACCCAGCTAACACAGAGTTGTAAATTTGCACATTTAATGTTAAAGAAAACAAACTATGCTGAAATTGAAGCAGTGATTTTCCTTCAACATATTCATGAGAAATCACCCATATCCATACGCAATGTGCAACTTAAGCTCATTGCTCAAGTCTCACAGACAATGCCACAGCACAAACTTTTACAATATGAAAAGAGGTGAACTTACTGCTATATAGTAAACTTTGGCCTTTTCCACCAACTTCCAGTTCTTCTCCAAATCAAGATGCTTTTCCTTCTTATAGCAATTAGCAGCTGCAAGGTTAGCTACAAGAGACCTAGAATGATGAACACACGTGCATTAGGTACTCCTTTATTAGATACTACAAATTTCTCCAGGTACAGAAGTTCTCAAGAGCATGGAAGTCAGAGACATACTGCTAAAAGAAGGAAAGCAAAGAAATTACACACATTTTTTTAATTCTTGCTATGATGATTAAATCCTTCTGTGCAGTTTCACTATGAGAGCATTCAATAATACTATTTTAAAACAAGCAAGAACATCAGAAGAATCTCCAACCAAATTTTCTATAAGATTTCTGAAACATTTGTCACCAGCCACTCAATTAAATTAAATAGATTATCAGTAGTCAAACAAATAAGTTGGAGGTTAACTTTTTTGGAACAGACTTAAACAGACAACAGACTTCTGTGTCATTTCATGTCCGAAGGAATACTCTTGGGGTCTATCTCTAACTCTTCAGCAGGTCCTATACCCAGAAGCCAAAGAAAAGTAATATGAATTTGCAATAAATAAATAAATAAATAAATAATAAAGACAAAAACGAAACCAAATCAAAACACACTCCCCAGAAGCACAAGAAGTTCTAATTCCTTGTGAATAAGAAAAATTTTCAGTATATTGGTGAGAAAATCACAGAAGAACCATGTAAAAACAAGGTGCATAACCAGTAGTTTTTGTAAACCAAGCTTAGAAAACAAATTGAAACTCTCAGTTTTGGAGATTTTTAAATATCCATGGAAACTCTGTGTGTATATTAGTATGCACACATATATGTGTGCAAAATGTACAAATCAATACTGTTAAATTAGAGAATTAAGAGCAGTCATCTCCAATTAGCTTGGAACCCTCTTAAAGTTAGGCCAACTTTGGAAAAACAAGAAACACTTATTTTAGGGCACCTGAAACATGAATTTGCACAGCCACTTACTAGGAAAAACAGGAGTGCTACTTCCTATTCTCCAAAAGATACAAGAATTCTGATCTACCTGAGGGAGGAAGTTAGCACATGCCTCACATACTACAAAGCATTGAACAGTTATCAACAGACAGATTCTTACAAAACAAGAAAATGTCCAAAAGCAAAAAAACAAATCAGAGAGAAATTAAAGGTTGAGTATATGCTGTGGTCTCACCGAAAGAGAGGGGGTTGAATAGTAAAGCCTCTCTTTTCCCCCACTCCCAAGAAGGGAAATTCATTTCTGGTACTCCATGGAGCTGAAAGCACATTCTAAAACAATAACGGAAATGAAGCCACTGTCACTAGTATTTGAGTAAACATTTGATATTAAGAGAGAGAAAAGTAATTTATGTTAGCAAATCAAAACTTCCGCTCAATAAAGAGTTACCATTTTAAAGAAGTACTTGCTGACATTTTTATGAATAAATTTATCTAAACTATTATAATCCATTAAGATACATGGCAAGAAATCATATACTTGTTGCAAGTTCATTATGTTTGTCTATTCACAGTCTTGACTTCATTTTCTCATAACGCCATCCAGAAAGTGGTGACTCCTCAGAATGCACTGTGTGACTGCAGAGAGAATCATAGAGCACAAACACCTTTATTTCAAGTAGTCTTTTTGCTAAACTGAATACAGATCATAGAGATGAAGGCAGAAACATAATTAATGTGAGAACTTCAGCTGAAGATAGTGAACAACTTTTCCCTTTGAGTATATACATTCATTCCTGAAAGTAAGAATTTCTAAAAGGTCAAATATTCCAAGTAGGGGAAGTTCTACTCCTAGGCCCACTGCACTTGTACCTTAAGAAAAAAAATGCAATGCACTGACCTGTTATCACTAGTGATGCATGCGGCACAGGTTCCTGTCGGCTCTTCACTCTGCTCATAGTAATGGGCATCCACATGCGCTTCCTCGGCCTTCTTCTTCAAGATCTCGCCAAATTTATCTTTGCCGATGCATCCGAAGAACGTTGCAGCTTTGTAGGGGCTCTGAATCATCCACTGCAGATCCACAGAAAAAAACCCAAAACATTCGTGGTTAGCATGCCTTACACATGCCATTACTTGCCATTTTTTCTTTCCATTTGCCATATTTAATTCCGAGTCTGCAAGACTGTGGCATCCTACAAGGATCCTATAGAACGCTTCTATGCCCAGCAGAGAACATTAGCCACCTCAGCTGAGGCACGATCAACAAAGAATAAAAGCATTTACCTTAGGGGCTCTGCTGAATATTTAATAGCTGGCCTAAAACTCACATAAATACCTGTAACTGATAGTGTATCAAATAAAGTAGGTATGAAATACCTTTAAAAGCATACTAAAGAGGTTCTCTTGCTCAAAGGAGATGCCTGTGCATTCAGTCAAACTGAGAATGGGATTTTTAAAGGAATTTTTAGAAAAAGAAAAAATTAAACAGAAGAAGATAGCAAGTATAAGGAAAACAATGTGTTTGAGAAATCCAGAAAGAAACATTGTGCAACACTCAAAATATATATATAAGAACTAAATGTTACTGAAAATAACCTTTTGTGTTTACCATTTAATTATATGCAAATACAGGAAATACTCCCCATTCACATTGTTAAACCACACATGAAAATATCTATCTTCAACTTTATTGAGAGCAGTTCTGTCACTTGATTTGTAAAGAAAGAACATAACTGCATCTTGTTGCTAAGGTACAGGATTATTTTATAAGGCTTCTCTTTTATTAATACTAAGCATATATCATACAAGTGTAAATGTAGCTTCACATTAAGTTAAAAAATCAGTATTTAGCAGCAAAGTAAAATCAAGACTGAACTTAAAAAAAAAAAAAAAGAGTGAAGAAACAATCCCAGGCCCAGCTCTGCTAGCGATGAGTCAACCAACTCAAGTCATTATAATTCCCTCTAATTACAGGCAGAAAGCTTATCCACTCAATCTATAGTAGGAATTAAAGGCTACATCAATTTACTGCAATGCTAAAACCCTACTTATAATTGTTTCCTAATCAAGATTTAAATAAACGATAATGTCTCCATTACAAATCAGCACTAGTGGTATCCGCGGGTTGTAGAAAGGTCAAGTAAGTGAGTTGCAAATACATGCTTAGTCACATCTTCATTACATCCAGCTCCAGAGGGAAAAAAAATTGCTTTAGTCATCTAGGGTCTTCATTAATAAGGCAAAGGTGGATAAAAGTAACAAGGCCCCTTTCTTGAAGCAATTTAATATGCATCTAGTTTAAGGGCAAAAATATTGTGTTGTCAGACGACAGCAGCGTTTAGACTGTCGTTCTTGAAAAGCATACTAGACATGCTCTGCTGTCCCTGTACTATTTTAAATTAATAGAAATTAAATTTCTAACAAGTAAGAGATCTATCTACAACACCTTTTATTTTACATGCCTTATTCTCACAAATAACAAAAATTAAGAAAGACCACTTTGAACACAATGCACAAAATACACCTTAGACTTGCAACGTTTTCTCAAAATAGCTAACTTGTCATCCTTTATATATAAAAGTCTGACAACATTTGAGGAAGTAGTAATTGGTATTTCACATACATTTCTGTGAAAAAAAGAATTTCTGTTAAAATATCAAGTCTGGTTATTGGCAGCAGCTCAGTTTGATTTCAGGTGTTACATCTGCCATAAATAACTGCAGCAGTCCTTATTTTAAATCCATGTTAATCTTCTGAATCAGAAGCCAAGATCACTGGGAATAATCCCACTGTATTGATATGCTTTCCATTTGAACAGCTGAGCTAAGTTAAACACGGGGGAAGATGGAAAGCAGTGTTTCTGTTAAGATCCTCTCCTCATAGACCTCCACTTACAAACACTCCCAGCTCCTTCTCAGAAGGATCCCTATCTGCTCCCATAATGACAGCCACGAGGTCTTGCTAGTCAAATAAGAATTCCCAACTGTGCTTCCTTTACCCCAGTTAAAAGACTGTTGTCTTTTATTAATAAAGGAATCAAGTGGACATTATGTTGCCAACATGACGTATGTGAACTACAAAAACGAATGCTGGCATACTGTACCTAGCAGAATGAGCCAGAGAAAACACTACCTGCATTTTGAGATAAACAAATGACACAAAATAATGTGTTTAGAGTAGACCCTGGAGGACTTTCTTCCACATTCGATCCTGGATTGAGATTAACTTTGAATATCCTGACATTCATAAACATAGACTTTTTTGGAGTCCATGGAGGACACGGAATTTTTAATGGACAATTTCCACACACCATTATTATTGTTTTTAAAATTTTGTCTGAAAGACTCAAAAGGAGAGTGAGGGCTTACTTACCACAAGACATTATCAACATCAGATGATCATGCAGTATTATATCCAATCCCAAATGAAGGCAAATAACAAACTGTGCATCATAATATCAGGTTCAGGACTGTATCAACTGCAAATTCAATTTACAGATTTATATGAAATAAAAGATTTAATTGAATGAAAAGACTCTAGACAGAAAAATGACCCAGCTCAGCAGGCACTTGCCTAATGAGTTAATTATGAGGGTTTGACTAGGCAGCGAGGCAGTTATTAACAAACTGTATTGACAGGCCGGTCAGCAAAGGTTGGCACCTGGTCACACCAAGGATCCTCACCATTCCCCTAGGGAGTTTGAGGCTGTTAACAGCCCAAAGACAGAAGTGACCAAAGTAGGAACTTATCATGAAGGAACAAGACAGCCTCAGGAGGAGGAAGATTTGAATTTCAATGATGCTGCAGAGGAAACCCAACATCCAGAGTGGTTTATGAAATCTAGTGTGTTTCTCCATCCTGCAGTTTTTCTCTGTCAATGCAACTTAAGGACATCAGGTACACACAAGGACAGGCCCTGACCCTGTCAGTTAGAATAAGCATCTGTGACAGAGGAAGAAGCAGGGGAAACAAAACACCTTTCTCTGGAGTTAAACAGATGACATTTTCCTTATATTTTTATTGTATTCACTCTGGAAAATCAAATGCAAATATTAATGTTTTAACTATTTTTTCCTTGCTCTTAACACAACCCCAACTTAAAATTAGGCTGATTTCAAAATAAGCATCTAATTTTAAATTACCCTATCCCACCAACAAACTATTTCTTATAATCAAGTAGTGAAGTCAGTATCTGAGAAATGCCCAGCACTCTGGTGGCTCTAAGATATACTAGAGAACGACAAAATACTTTTCTCCTTAGCTTCATGAGACCACTCTGAGGTCACACAAGCTGCAGGCTCTTTTTAAATGTCTTGAAGTGATCCCAGTTAACAGGGTGAACTCTTAGGCATGCTTGGCTAATGTTGAAGTGCAAGAACCTTTGTGTTTCAGGGTAGCAATTGAGGGGAACATGGCCTTTCCTTGAAAGATGCCAATAAAATTTAATGAATAAAACTCTTAAAACCTTTGTTGTCCCATTCATTCACACCCTCAGATCTGAAAAATATGGTACCTCTACCTCCCACTTTGTTTGATTAGAGGATACCTTTGCAACCAACCTTTCTCAGAGCTGCAGAGGCACTACTTCTAACACTAGAAAGGACTTGACTCTGACTACTGAATGCTGTCTTTTGACAACCATTTTCAGACCAGAATGAGGTCAGAGTTATTTGTATGGTCTCTTACACCCAAAGAATCATAAAATCCTCCCTTACACTATGTAATTACTGGTCTTAAAGGATTAGAAAAAGAAGAGCACAGAGATATTTGATTTGTATTTCCCAAGTATGCTATTTAATTTCTGAATGTCATGTTTAGGACACAGTGTAGAGTTTAGTATCCCTCTTCAAAACAGATGAGCCCTGTTCAAAGCTTTGCTGTTGCTGCAAAGTTCACAGTAGAGGACGACCTCTACTTGAAAGGCAAAAAGCAGCACAACTGCACAACTGAATACTTGAGCTAAGTTTCCTCACTGTTTTCAGTTGCAAATAGACTCCCTCTGCAATAAGACAATTCACTGCTGCTGAGTCTCAATATACAGTCACTTACAACCTAAAACAGAACACCAGACTGATGAAGCTTAAAACAGACAGACAGCTTTACAGCCCTCAGACTGAATCAATGACCCTTCAGAAAGGGTGGCATTTCAGTATGACTTTATGCTCTGCTACAAGTGTCACATATACGTGGGCAACACTAATGACTATCCCACAGAAGGCTGATGAATATGTTTGCCTTCGGTCCCACATTTTAATCCCTCTGATTTCCTTAGCTCCTGAATTCTTTTTTAAAGCTGTAGCTAGCAGTGCATTCCCACATCTGCCGGTCTCCTTAAACTAACGATGCTGAAGCACGTGAAGCTTTGCTTAGGCTGCAGTACCCTCCGTACCCAGGAGCTTCAGCTGCATCCTTGAATCCTCAGTGCCAGGGAACTGAGGAACAGGAAGCATTCCGCCCCTTCACAATGAAGAGTCTTCAGAACTTGTTAATGCTACTGAATACAGACATTTGAAGTACATCTGAAGTGCATTATTTGAAGCTGGACTCTTCTCTGTAAGATCTGTCATATCTGATCTTATTTTAAATTGCAGCTCACAGAAGAGCGGACTCTAAAGACCTAAAATTAGCTAAGACTTAACACATTTGCTCAATCTGAAGTACACAATGCCAGTAACTACTCACGAAGCAGTCCTTCTAGTAAATCGGAACAGCAATGTCTTGTTTTCATATAGTTCTGTTTGGAGTAGTGCTTTTCTTTTTCTATTCTATCCTGAAGTTTAGAACAAATCCGGATACCACATCAGTAGGTTTCACCAGATTGTTTTACCCCCAGAACATTTCTCATAACCAATTTTATAAACTGTCTACTAAAAAGCTTTTAGCAATGTTTCAGGATTTTGCTGTTAAAATATATCACATCTCATCTTAGAATAGCAGCTAACCCAAGAAAAGATAAAAAAGGTAACCATTCTATGCATATAAAAAGCATGTGAATGCTGTCAATATGCAAAAACTAGGCTAAAAAGGCCCCATCCCTTTCCCTGTTCCGAGTGACTGTGCTTGCTTATTTC